ATTTTAAAACAGTATAAATACTTTCAAGAAAATTTTAATTGACTAGTATTTGAATACAAACGAAACAGTTTTGTGAAATTGACTTTATATTCAAATACAGTAGAAAAAGTTTCTTTATAATTGACTTCATACATCATATTGACTAAAAGTTAAGCTCTGGACAAAAATAAACAATGTTCTTTCCTGTGAGGAAGCTATCCGACATCAGTGGTTCGTATCATGACACTACTTGGTAGTGCCTGAAATAAAGCATGGAGGGTCACATGAGGGCTACCAGTCCACCATGAAAGCTGAAAATTTGCCGTATGACCTCTACTTTGTTAGTGCGACTTAAAAACCCTATTAAAGAATTTGGAAGACGTCACAACTCAACATGTATAATTTTAATCTACATTGCTTAAAGTAAAAAAATCAAATAAAAAAAAATAAAACTTAAAATTTTTCTATAACGTGCAAGGTAATACTAATTTTGCATACTTTGACTTATTTTAGGTTCAGTTTTGAGGAATGTTTGTGTCCTATGTCAACTAAAATTGCTTTATTTCTAAATATAAATACAACACTTCCTGATCCAAAATGTATAAAACAGCACATATTGACAAACGTAAACTTTAATGATTTTACGATTCATCGAAACAAACAATTAACAATCAATATTTTAAAGTGTTTATCTAAATGATGAGTGATATATATGATAAGTTTTTCAACTACATTCATGACTGTAACTTAATCCTTGAAAGTTAAGTTCAAGGTGATTGTTATTCATAAAAAATTGAGAAGTTGAAAAAGCAGTATAAAGTTAGACACTTTTAAAGACTTTAGTGACTGTAGGAATAAGAATCTTTGTTTAAAATGATCGTGTAAAGATCGGGACAATTTTTATCTATCTCTAGGTGTTGTAGTTAGATAAACACAGTAAACCGGTTTAAACAAGATATTCTATAAAATGGCTACAGGTGGAGAAATAAATACAGATATTCTTTCTGATGAAATATTTGATGTACTTTGTTCAATGTGTAAAAATCGAGGTAAAAAATCTGAAGGTGAAAAATTCTGTGTAGACTGTCATGATTATTTCTGTATAAATTGTGTCACAGTTCACAGTCAAGTTCCTATGTGTGCTGGTCACAAGGTGTTGGATAAATCTCAAGTTAAGTCAGGAACCAGTAAAGGTCTGCCGAGGGCACCAGCAGAGAGATGTGACAGACACAGTCATAAACACATTGATATGTACTGTCAGAATCATGATAATGTTGGCTGTTCTACATGTATGGCAATTGATCACGGGTAACTTTTAGCATAATAATCATTTTTACAGTTTAATAATACTTAGTATTTATCAATTAAAGCTGCCAGCCTCATCCTATTCCCCTGAAAGTGAGCTTTTTAAAAAAAAATTATTAATTCATCAATATAATCGTCAAAAGCAGATGACTAAAAAATGTGTTAACCAAAAAGAAGGATGGTGTCCCTTAATTTTCTTTCCATAGATTTATTTCAGTTATAATGTTTTAATCATAAAAAGTTTAAGAAAATTATTATTATTTTTCCTCTCTTAAATTTCCTTGCAGAAAATGAAGCATAGTAGGAAAAGTCTTTAACTAACTTATGTCATCAATTCACAGCCAGACAAGTCAGTTACATTCAAACTGACAAAGCACTGATTACAACACAATTTTAATCTTTTGCTACAAATATCACCTATTTTTATTTTCAGACTGTTCATCAATTGAAAATAAATAGTTTTTTACCTGGTTAAGAGTTAATAAATTAATCAGCTTAATTAACTTATTACTTTGGCAAGTGAGGGCTGATAGATTTATCCCTCTGCAACCTGAAGGTTAACAAGATAATCAGATTAATTTTTTTCCCTCTTAGATGCCTAAACAGACTTAATTCCTTTTTTTCCAGATCATGTACGGATATATTCTATATACCAGAATTCATCCAAAACAAATCTTACCAAGTGGCTTCAAGAGAAATTCAAACAAAGCTGAAGGCATTAGCCAAGATCTTTGATGTACAAGCTAACAAATTTCAACAGGATAAACAGAACCTTCTGAAAAGAAAGGCTGAATTACTGGATGATATCAGAAAATTCCGACAAGAAATTAATGATCAACTTGACAAGCTGGAGAAAATTTCTATAGATGAGATAGCAAATAAATTCAAACTTCTTGAAGACAAGATTGAAGAAGGTCTCAAACAGCTACAAGAACACAAAGCAAAAGTCACATCATCTAATGATAAATTAGCATCTCCAAACCCAAATCAAGCTGAAATGTTTGTTCATGTGAAGATGGGGGAAGATGCTGAAAATGTTGCCAACAAATTTATAGAAGATACCAAAATGAAGATGGCAGTAAGTGAAATAGAGTTTCATTCTGACAGAAAGCTCATAGAAAGGCTGAAACAAAACAAAACAATTGGCATGCTGACAGAGAAAACTACAAATACTCCTGACAAGTTGCTTCATACTACAGAAGGACAATCATATTGTGTCAAAGATAAGTCTGATAAAACATGTCAAATCTACAGTGCCTGCTATATGGAAGATGATACAATAATCCTAGCTGATTACATCAACAACAAGCTTAAACATTTAGATAGTCAAAATTATACTATCACAGATTGCTACAATCTACCTGGATGTCCATATCAAATATGTAAAATTAATAAAACACAAGCAGCTGTAACATTATTCTCCCAACAGGAAGTTCATTTCTTTTCTCTAGTCAGACAAATGAAAACAACAAACAAGATTCAAACTGATTTTAACTGTGGTGGTATTGCATATGCAAACAATGATTTATATATTTCAGATGACACATCGGTCTATATCTACACAATGACTGGCAGGAAACTTAAACAGTTTAGTACTGACCAGTCAGGACAGAAACTGTTCTCTTGCATATACAGTCTAGCTGTCAGTAAGGATGCTACAAGGATTTATGTTGCTGATTTTGAAATAGGACTGATAGTACTAGACAACAATGGTCAGATTGTTACAACATTTAATGGAGAGCAATTACATGAGGCTTATTATTGTCATCTCACAGAAGCAGGTAGTATGCTGGTATCTGGTTATGGACCCAATAATGTTTTACAGTTTACATCTGATGGTGAGCTGATAGGAGAGGTCATAAAAGCTGACAGTGACAAACCAGAAATTCTGTCAGTTTGTTGTAATCAACAAATGTCTAAGATGTGTATAAGCAGAGATGATGAAGACAACATTGAAGTGCATGATATCTGATCAGTTAATAAGTAAATAAATAAAAAAACAATAATTTATAATCATGATATCAGTTAAGAGTTATTGTAATATAAATGTTAAACGGAGTGTTATAAATGTCAATGATTTTTATTGAAGGATGTGGTAATTGTCATTAAATATAAGAATGAATCTACAACATGAAATAAGATAATCATGAAAAAAAGTGATGTGCACATACATGTATATGTTTTTGCATACTCAGACATTCTTTATATATTATATACAACTATGCACAAGTTCCCAAGGTGATTTGAGAGTGTGACTTTATATCATAAATGGACATACATATGTAAGTAAATAACATTTTTATATTGTATATATTATACATGAACATAATTCATAACATCAACATTAAGTGAATTACAGTTTTTATATTCTCAAAGATTCTTTGTTTATCCTATACAAGTTACCCAAGTAGATTATAGGAATATGCTTTAGATATTGTAATGGATCATGTTGCAGTTACAAGAAAAAAAAATGTGTAATTGTAGATGTTTATCACGAGATACTAGTAATAAACTAGTACACTTGCAATAAAAATTCAGAATAAACAAATTGTCTGAAACAATCTTAAATATTTTGTTACTGGTGTTGATGGGTTTTAATATATATATATATATATATATATATATATATATATATATATATATATAATATATATATATATATATATATATTATGTATACATGTGTATAAACGTGATAATTGTTCCTTGTGCAGTGTTGAAATAGATAAAATTATTATGTTTAAAGCAATAACAAACTCTATGTTAATTCGGTAGCGCTTTCAATGCTTTCTTCGCATATCTTCAGCCGAAACTTTAATAAATTGTTTAATAAAGTTTCGGCTGAAGATATGCGAAAAAAGCATTGAAAGCGCTACCGAATTTACATAGAGTTTGTTATTTCTTAAACATTATAATTTTATCTCTCTCTCTCTCTCTCTCTCTCTCTCTCTCTCTCTCTCTATATATATATATATATATATAATATATATATATATATATATATATATATATATATATATATATATTATGTATACATGTGTATGGGCCGGTGGCCTGAATGCAAATTTGAAATAAACTCATTGTAATAGTTACCAAAAGGAAGCAATTTACACATTATCAATGGCACTAAAATCCCACGTTAATTACCAAAAGAGGTCAAAATATGAAAATAATGCCCTTACTGCGTGAGTAACGCAGTAGAAATATATATAGTTACACATAATGAAAAATCATCATTAATCGCTCATAACAAGTAAATTATTACTTAATCTTGAATCTTTCTACTTTTCCTAAAAATCTTAGTACATTTGATTTATTGAAATATTTTCGCTGATCTGGACGCATGCTGCTTTAAGGTAAAAAACTTGTCTAAAAAAAGTTTTATCTTAATCATCCTTATGATCCTCCGAGACGGGAGCGTATTTGATAAGTTCATGATTAATAAAACTTTTATAGAAACCTACTAGGCAATTTTACACAAATAAAAATGATAATTGTGGTAAAACGGGGTAAAGGAATATTCTGAAAATTTTCACTTATTGGCGTCCGCGCCGAAGCGCGGCGCTCTTATGGAATGAGATCAGATTTTGTGAAAGGGCGACAGCAACTTCTCGAGCCTTTTAGTCGGTCATAATAAAAGCCGAAAATTCCGATCGGTATGAGGGTGCTTGATTATTAAATAAGAATGAAATGTTGCGATATGTTACAATGAATTTTCGCAATGCAAACATTTACAAATGAAATAACCTTTTCCGTCAATAAATCGCGCTCTTCGGGGTTTTTTATTTATCATTTTGTAGTACACAGTCGGTTATCATGTCATGGTATGTTATTGTTGTACATGTATCCTAGAATGATCAGTTGATGACCTAAATATTCCAAAAACCTATTTATAGATATATCTTTTTATCACTCCTATCGGTAAATGCCGGTCTCTCCCGGTCTTTTTTGACCAGGATTTACTAGTGACCGGCGAATAGTACCACACGTTATATTGTCCGGTCTCTCCCGGTTTTGGAGTAGATGTTTGATATCGTTACAATTAGAAAAAAACAACAATAGCATGTTTCATTTTATTAGTTATTGGTTCAGACCTTCATAGAATGGTATAAATCTCGGAGGGAATAATCAAGTGGAAAAAAAACAACACGTTACATATTCTTTAATAGATAAAAATTTCTGACAGACTAAACGATTTAAAAGAAAAAGAAAACAAACAAGTAGAATAAGAATACTATGAATTTTCTCAAAGTTCAGCATTATTCATATCTCAGAAAACTGTTGAAGGACTTTCAGCATTTTAAAAGTCTCAAAGGTCATTTCTTCTTATTACGTTACTTAAGTACGAGTACAAGTAACCTTCATTTCCCTAGTAAGCTCCCTTACAATAGAACAACACTTTATAAAGTATATAAAGTTATATATCTGCTGCAAAATTCACATCCTGAATTTAAAAAAAAACTGTCCGAGGACAGTAACACTCGACTATTCGAAAAAGTTGTTACAAGGGTGTTTCATTGAGTATAATAATGCTTACCTAAATAAATACATAAAATTGTCCGACAAGGTTCAAAGGCTTGTTATTAAGATGTAAGATTGGAAAAATCACTGCTTCATTAATTTGAATGCATAAAATTGTCCCAAAAAAGGCACAAACCCTTCAGTAGTTATAGAGATACCAGTTTACAAGCAAAACCTTTATCTAAAATTTCTAAGCCGAAAAAGGGGCACAATTATGAAAACAACAAATCAAGAGTTCTGGGACTTGTGCCAATCATTTAAAATAATCCAGACAACAAGTGTGTGAAGTTTCAATTCATTCCCTTCATTAGTTATGGAGATACCAGCTTACACGCAAAAACTTAACCAAGAGTTTCTAAGTCGCAAAAGGGGCATCATTATGCAAAACAGCAGATCAGAGTTATGTGACTTGTGCCAATCATGTTAAATAATTACAGAGAACAAGTGTGTGAAGTTTCAATCAATTCCCTTCAGTAGTTGATGAGATACCAGCTTACACGCAAAAAAATAACCAATAATTTCTCAGTCGAAAAGGGGCATAAATATGCACAAAAGAAAATCAGAGTTAAGGGACCTGTGCCAATCATGTAAGATAATCATAGAGAACAAGTGTGTGAAGATTCAATCCATTCCCTTCAGTAGTTAAGGAGATACCAGCTTACACGCAAAAACTTAACAAAGGAATTCTAAGTCGAAAAGGAGGCAAAATTATGAAAAAAACAAACAAACAAAACAAATCAGAGTTATGGGACTTGTGTCAATCATGATAGATAATCACAGTGAACAAGTGTGTGAAGTTTCAATTCATTCCCTTCAATAGTTATGGAGATACTTGCTTATACTCAAAAACTTAACCACAGCTAGGGACGCCGACAAATGGGTGACTGCATTAGCTCGATTATTCTGCAAAAATACTTTAAAACGCTTGAATGAAAGAAAAATGTTAGTTTGCTTCCATAATAGCGAACAGTCCATGCACAAAATTCTTGCCATAAAAGTTTTTAACTTTGCTGCGTAATATATTTTGATCCGGGATATCTCAATTTGTTTAACTCATTATACATGCCTGTGTATTAAACGACAAAGACATACTGTTACATGTAACTGTTTTGAGAATTGACTCGAACATTGTCAAAACAATGTTATTTTACATTAAAGGCACATTATGTCTTAGAAAAACTTGTTTTTTATTCTTTAGAAAGGGCAAGCATGAGTATTGTCATACTTAAGTAATGGTTTTAGAGTATATTAGATGAAAAAAGAAAGTAGCCTTTATTGTGAAATAATTTGTCATAAAAGTGGCAAAATGTGAAGAAAGTAGTATTTTGACACTCATACAAAATAGAAAATCACTTTAACTTTAAGAAACGTCAAATAGCAACAATGGAAAAAGATTATTCAGATAAATGACATCTTAATTACGTTAACCTTCCTTTTGAAAACTATAAGTTTTTTTAAATACAAAACTGAGAAATAAAAATAATACAATTACTGAGGCATAATTAAACTTTAACAAATATCATAAAAATATTTACACATCAGATATAACTTTATACTCTTTAAGTGGTAAAAGGACCAGTGGTTCAAAGTAAGCAACTTTAACAATTCAATTAATATGGCATAGCCAAAATGCAATGGTCAAATACTTACAGCTAAAATACTTCTTTTTTTACTGGCACATGAAGAACAGCTATTCCCTTTTCAGAATTTACTTCAATCTGAAACAGTTTCATTAAGTAGATTTATATTGTTAAATAGTAGAAAAAGAATTATGAAAATTGAAATTGACTGATATTGAAATACAGTACAAACATTTTCAAGAAAATTGATTGACTTCTATTTGAATACAAAAGAAACAGTTTTGTGAAATTGACTAATATTCTAATACAGTAGAAAAAGTAACTTTAAATTGGCTCCAAACATCATATTGACATTAAGTTATGCTCTGGACAAAAATAAAGTACTTTCTTTTTTTGTGAGGAAGCTATCCGACATCAGTGGTTCTTATCAGGACACTTCCCAGACCTCTAAATGTGACTTTGACTTTTGACCTTGTTCATGAGCGCAAAACGGTTTCACATAGTGATCAACATTTCTTTGAAGTTTCATAAAAATCCCTCTATGCATACAGAAGATATGATCTGGAAAATATCTGGATATTTCATTATCTTCCGTGACCTTGCCCTTGCATATATTGACTTAAATTAAAAGTGTTACAGATGTTTTCATGCTAATGACCATTTGTGTTACAATCCCCCAATAAATGTTGATAAAAGGGTCCATATACACATTTTCATATTTTCATTTGAATTTCGACCCTATATGTGACTTTGACCTTAACCACTGCGACCTAAATATTGCGCTTGACATTCCTTATCACAATGGTGAACATTTGTGCGAAGTAATATTGATACCCCTCTTTGCTTGGAAAAAAATCTGCTCCGGACAAGCATTTTTCAATGACCTCTTTCTGTGACCTTGACGTTTGACCTAGAGACCTGGTCAATGTCCACGACACCGCTTCTCAAAATGGTGAACATTTCAAAATCCCTCGATGTGTGTAGGAGATATTTTCCGGACAAAAAGTAGACACCGCCAGCCTTCCGCCAGCCAAGGGCGTTCTTATAACACGACCCATTTAATTTTCCAAATGGCTGTATTAAAGTTAAAAATAAATATTTTTCTATTAATTTTACATGCAAGGTTATAATAATTTTGCGTACTTTGACTTATTTTATGTTAAGTTATGCGGATTGTTTGTGCCCTATGTCAACTAAAATTGCTTTATTTCTTAATAGCTATATATTTACTAAACACAACACTTCCTTATCCAATACTTTAAAAAAAAACACCTATTGACAAATGTAAACCTTTATGGTTGAACAATTTATCGAGATAAGACGTTCAACAATCAATATTTTAAA